TTTTAAAATTCTTACACTGTAGCATATTAAGCTGTAAGAATTCAAATAGTTCTTAGTAATTCAGGGCTTTAGCTGTTAGATAATAGTAAATGTTAAGACTTTAGATCAAATGTTCAGACTTTAGATCAAAAGGATTTTTGGTATGTTTCATTAACACAAAAATCAGCTAAACTTGGTGGGATAAATTTCCTTCCCAGTCTGTTAAATCTGAGAAGGGAAAGGGGAGGGAGGTCAGGATAAGGGGGTCGGTCTCATATACACCTTGAACAATCTTTTATGTAATAGTAATATTTATTCAGAGGTTACATTCTGTTTTTCTTCTATGTATCAGATAACATGCCAGAAATACATCAAGTGCCTCAGAATAATATGCGGAATTACTATTTTGGAGATTTCCGTGTTTATTCTATTAAAGGAAATTACTGATTTTTACCTTCACACCAGCTATTAAAGCAGTGTGGAAAACAAGGTAGCAAATTAGATGTAGCAACAATATCTCTGATATCACAGATTTTGTACAAAGAACACTACTGAATTAATGAAGTATAATAATAGCTTGATGGCTGATAATCCAATTCCCTCTGCCCTTTTTAAAAGTTTTCCCTTAAATTTTAGGTATGAACCCTCTCGTGAGATGAAAAGTCAGTGGACAGCTGTCTGGGTGAAAATCTCTTCCAGCTGGATTGGCATCGTGCTATATGTTTGGACACTGGTGGCACCACTTGTTCTTACAAATCGTGATTTTGACTGAATAGGACTTCTGGCATGAAAGTCCCACTTTGATCATTGCTCATTTGAAAAGAATATTCCCAACTTTTGTAAAGTTGTGTATGTACGTGCTTCCCATGTAACTTCTCCAGTGTTGTTCTGGCATGAATTAGATTTTACCGCTTGCCTATTTATTATTTCTTGCCAAGTGCATTGATACGTGAATTAGAATGAATTGTGAAGGGAGAGTTTTAGGAGTATGACGTTAACATTGTTAGGCTTATCGTCTGCCCTGTACCTGTGAAATTAAGAGTGAAAACAAAACTGCTTGACAGTTTGAGTTTAAAAGTGTGTTAGACCTTAAGCTGTTTCAGAAAACATAAAAGCAAATGTATGGCTGCCTTTTGAAATACTTGATATGTGTCTTTCAGGAGACTGCAAAGAAGATAGCTATTGTAAAATGCTAGTTGTCTGAAAAATCTTTTCAGGTTTTTTCCTCGATACCAGAGTAAGGAACTTATACAGGTAGGGAGTGTTTGCTGGACAGTAGTGTAGGTTTTATGTATGGAGGTTGAAGCGCAGAGCCATTAAAGACAGGCTGGTGGTGATAGGTACTAAATTGAATACCCAGTGAGATTATAATCTTCCTTGGGTAGAGACGGCCTTCACTAACAAAATGAACTTTGTTTTGGTCATTATAAACCCATGCAAAAGTTTGGGTTCAGCAGAGATACTAGGAACTAAAGGATTTAGACAAGGTTATGAAAAGGATAATCATGGGTTAGAAGGAAGTTATCGAAAGCCATTTTGAAAGTTTTGAAAAATCAAAGGTGGTAAATTTTTGAGAGGGCAAGAAGAAACTGCAAAATTCTAGACTTCAGTAGGTATTTAG